TATCCTTGCAGCCCTTCGTTTATCCCTCAGATGCTCCTTAGCCTTCCAGGGTCACGTTAGTCCCCAAGAGATTTTTTTTACACAGAATTTCTGCTCTGACCTTGACCTGACTGAGGGAAGGGGATGTTCAGAAGGTCACTGGATAAAAAAGTGCTGATGTGGGGTATCAAGCAATGACCCACTTGAGGAGTGGAAGAGCCTTTTACTAGTTCTTGCAGGACTTTCCACACCCCTGGTGTTCAGAAGTGCACGATAACTTGTGCAAATACATTGGAAATCGAGATCTGTTGGCCTCTAAAGCCATTCAGCTCTCTAGCCTTTTTTCTTTCCAGCCTCTATATCTACAACTATTGACAAATCACATCCAGCCTGTCTTTTTCTCATTTGTGAACTACCATGCTCAGCTGAGTCATCCTGGCCTTGTTCACACCACAGGGCTGACGGCAGCAGGGACAACCAGTTAAGAGTTAAGCCCATAGGGCTTTTCAGATCAAAGCACTTCATACAAAATATTTCAGCAAAGAGCAGAGAAAGCTGAAGCAGACTTTTGGAGTCTATTGAAATTTGCAGCAACTTTTTATTTGACTGAGGGTAAAGCAACTCTATTGTATCAGGATTTTCTTTTTAAAGAAAGGAACACTTTTATTTACAGACATTTGTGTTTATAGAGTAAATTAGCTTTTGTAAGGATTGTTCTAAAGCATGCTACTGGGCTGTGTTTGATTAGGATTCCTTCCTGCTATGACAGATAAAAGATCACTGTGTTCAACAGTGTGTTGCTGAAGGGGTTTCAGTGAAATCCCAACAATGGAGGTAGGAAGCATATGTTTTGGTTTAAAATGTTGAGGAAAAGAAACTCAGTATTGCTTCAACTTCTTTCTTACCTGGATTTTTAAAGGCTCTTTGGATTGTCAGTGCTCAGGAAGAGAAGCGGGGGAGTTGCACAAAACCCACAGAGAGTCTAGGGAAGCATGGGGTGAACTTACATGGTCTAAAAACACCCCTCACAATGGTTTTGAGGATTCCCACTTCTGTAAAATTACACCCCAGTTGACACATCTCCTTTTTGCTAGGCACACATACACGCTTTGGTTCACATTCAGAAAATAAACACAAGCAAGCAACATCAGGTTTAACCACTAGAAATAAATCGTTCAAATACCACAGAGAGGAGTGTTGTCTCACTCTTTGTAGTAGTGGTATTCACTTCTTTTAAATGATTTTCCATCCAAGGCGTCGGCACACTACAGTGGATTTAGACCTTCCAGCAAGTTTCCTTCCTCTGATCACTCTTCAGACACCCTTCAAAGCAGTCCACAGATATGCACAGCCTCACAACTTAAGCTCAGGAACTATTGCATGCAGAAAAGGAAACATGAAATGGAATAGGAAAGGAAAATTTGCAGGAAAAAGAACAAAAAAGTCTGAACTGTCTGCCAGATATCACATCTCATGTCACACCCATACGCCATGATCTGTCACAAGTTCAAGGCTTGGAAGAAATTTTGGGTTTCTTCCAGGACAGCAGGCAGAGTGAGGATGACAAGAGCACCCTGCAGCCAGCGAAGATCAGTGCCAAGGTCTACCCCATGCTGAGAAAACAGCTGAGGAAAAATATCCCTCAGGGATAGGAACTGCCAACATGGCAGCCTCTTATCTTTTAGAAGTGTAACAATTCCAACATTCATGCTGAACCCCCATATAGGATCTGCAACCAACCCACTGAAATTAGTTACCAATGTCCTCCTCCAAAGATTTTCCTCCTCTGTGAGCAAATGGTTTTGTTTATGCACATGGACTCCTAACACATAACATCCAACATCAAAGCTGCTGAAGAGAAGGTAGGGTTGGACAGAAACCTCTCTAGCCCTGTCAGACCCTAGAGGAAAGCCCCACAAGCTCACAGACTCCAGCATCCCTGCGACTCTTCCATGCTCAGATAAGGGCATCAGCAGCAATTCTTAGGACCAGCCCTCATTATCTCAGATGACCTGGATAAAATAATGGTATGATGACACAAAAACAAAACAACAAACAAAAAACAAAAAACCAAACCCCGCCCCCCAACAACACACCTGCCTTTGGCTCATGCCACCACTTCGAAAACAGTATTACCTCATCACCTGCAGAAATGATCCAATACAGACTCCTGCTACAGATTCAAAGTAATTCAAAAATTTTGCAGTTTGATACATGTATCAGCAGGCTTAATGCTGAGTAAAGAATAATTTCTTTACCAACAGCCAGCAAAAAGGTTAGTTGGAGCTTTTTCCTCCTCTCCTGTCTAGTTCACAAGCAGTGTGAGTACTGGCCTGTTTTTGGTAAGATCATACTACTTAATCTGTGCACAACCAATCTGCTCACCTGAACAATCACAAAGCTACACCCTGGGGCTGGAGTTTCCTTAATTGCTTCCCCAACTGCTTTCCAAAAACCCCCTCTTAAATTAGACGAATACAAGAACTTCACAGTTTTAATAACCTCCAGCACACAGCAGGTATCTCGGTCTCCAATTCACCATTCCCAGCCACAATATCAAGCACCTCAGATGGCAGTTTCTCATCATTTCTTGAGGACCAAGAAAAACGTGCATCACCAGTGCCATACCAAAGTATTTACTGTTCCAGATACAGTCAAATGTTTTAATCTCACATATGCAACTGTCCTTCAGAAGACTGACAGTACACAGTTTCATAATCCTAGCTTCTGTTCAACGTGGGATGTAGACAAATACCAGCAAATTTGCCTACCTGCTGTTGAGCTCCGTTTACTGACATTCAACATCTTCCACTGGAGGAGAGGCTACAAATTGTCAGCAAACCAAGCAGCTGTGCCTCACACCTGCATTTGAGCTCTTAGTTTAAGTCTTTTACCACATTCCCAACCTAGGTATAAGAAAGCCTTTGCTCCACTTACATGACATTACAGATGTATACATATACAATGGTGCACAGCAGAAATAATGGCTTCTAATATGGCGTTGGTAAGGACAGACACCTTCCCAGAGCAAAGGGCAACGTGATCCTCTCTGTATGAGAATGAGGTCCTCACCAGTCAACAGTATAAATGAAACTACCCAAGCCAACTCCCAAGACACAGCAAGGACCCCACATAGCACAAAAGCCTTCACTTGTGGTGCTCAGACAATAACCCCCTCATGGGTCTGGGTCTCCAAGCAAGCCACTCCACCCGGTCAGCATGCTGGTTCAGGCACTCTCTTGAAAGACAGCAAAACATACTATCTCAAAAGTCTTTGCTCCAGATTATGTAAATTCAGGTCCATTTATCTCAAGTTATTGTACCTGAGGGGGCAAAACTCATCAAGCCCAAACATACCTACCTACCACCTTCTCCTTTGCCCAAGACCCAGCAAAATCCAGGAGCACTCAGTTGATTTGGCGATACCCAAACAAGATGCTTAAGATCCCTCATATGTGGATATTGGACAGAGTGGGTTGAAGTCCTACACGAGACCACAATTTTTGTGGACATGACCCTGCATTCTTATGTCATATGACTGTACATGTAGTAGAAACTATTTCATATTTTATTTGTGCCAAGGCAGCTCCTGCCAGAATTGAGACTTTTAACCAGAACAGACAATACCACTCTTGATGCTTCACAATTTGTGTCCAAAGAGACCTTTGCCAAGGCAGAAGCTTTTTTACTTAAAAGTAATCACCAAAAGAAATCAAACCCTGGATGTGAAGGACTGGCTCTGTACTAATGCACTCAATGCTCTATCCTTAAGGAGGCACTTCCAAACAGAAGTAATATTAAAATTCATGTGACATCCTACAGCATGAGAGACTCATGGCCTCTGGAACGCACAGTAAGGGCAAGGACTGCAATTCTGAAGAGATATAAGCACTAAGTTCTGCTTCACTGCTGAACAACTCGTATTCTCAAAACAAGCTACAGCTCAAGAATGTCTTACACATTAGTGTAACTAAAATTTGAGGGCAAAATTTGTAAGTGTCCAGATACTCCAGAGAGGACAGCTACATAAAGAGACCTAGAGAACTACTCATGGTTCACAGGCTAATTCTGAATACTTTTTATGAATTGTACAGATTTCTACACCTGGTTTTATGAAGTACATCATATTCCATACAGACATGGCACCATCTGGTAGATGTACACATAATCTTCTGCCCCGTGATGAAGCAACAAATGATCCCATAAGGCTCTTACTGATAACTTTTCAAAAAAAAAAAATCTATTTCTTGGCTAATTGCAACATGAAAGAGTTCTTGCTGAAAAAAGCCAAACTCACTCCAAGTTTTGCTCATAGGCCTCTCCAATCATTCTCACAGACACACTAGGATCATATTGCAATAGAAGGATCGTCCAATAACACAAGTAGACTGACACATTTCATACACTTTCCAGTGTATACAATCTATTCTTCCACTTTGTCTTATAGAAATATGCCACAAGTAAGAAGCAATGGATCAGAAGCTAGGCAGAATCCCTACCATATAGCTCAAGGTAAAGGGTAAAAACAGATGGCAAAGTCTCAGCTAAAACCTCTCATATACAGCAAGAATTTTGCTACATTCCTTTGCCCATAGCCAGGTACACTAAGCTGGTTACATTAACTAACAGACCTTTTTAAAAGTTTAAAAAAAACCAACAGAAACAAACAAAAAAAATGACATCAACTTTAATCAGTGCACTTCCACCTGAAGGAAAAGGCCTGAACACAACAGGCAATAAGAAAATCCTGTTCCAAGGAAAATATCATCTCCAATATTCATATATATATCATGCATTAGAGATTCCTAGGACTGAACCACTAACACTTGTATGCTGCTAGAAGCTTAGGCATATTGTAAATGCATTATCTGCTGCAACCAGGATATTGTCATATCAGGCTACCTGAAAACCTGAATCTGAATAAAAGTTTAAACCAGTCTTCTTCCATAATTCATTTTACATTTAAAAACAGTCTGCAGTCAGATCAGTTCCTTTCAGCCAGGCAAAAGTTACAAACAGTGTCATAGTGATGATTCTTCTGTCTTTATCTTTTTTGTTTGTCCATTTGAACCACGTTGCAGATCCTGCCTTTTCTTTCTCTGCTGCTGTAACCTTTCCTCCTTCGTCTCTAAGTCGGCGGCCATGTTATCAAATGAAGCCTTGTAGAGACTGCTGTAGTGGCTCTCTGCGCCAACAAAAGCTGCAATTGGGCAAAGCAAGAACAGAAGACAAGTGTTAATTCCCTTAGCTGTTTCATCAGTTACTTCCTGGACTGTAATTCTAGATAGTGATATTTCAGCTCATTTACTGTGGTCCTATCCACTTTATTAAAGATCAGCATTTACACTGTGTAAGCTTGATTTGTGTTGGTAAGCATCTGTCCTGCGTTCACACAGACAAGTTTTAGGCTAAAAAATATGCACAGAGGCAAGCACTTGACAGTGAAGCGAAGAGGACACACAGCTCTCTTTACATGTTGGACACCTACAGACTTCAAGGCTTCCGTTTTTAAAATGACTGCTCTTGCAACTTATTTTAGACATCCCATTGGAGTTGTTTCCCAAGACCCAAGTAGTGCAAAGGGTGTATGCTACCTAACTGTGCTTATCTGACTTGTCTCCTTGAGTATTAAAAGAAGCCCAAAGAAGTAGATTTCAAACAGTTATGTCCTACAGCATGTACACATTTCTAAATATTCACCCTGATAGTTCTGTTAACACCTTCTACAAATTCAGCATAACACTCATCACACCATCTCCAAGACTGTACGTTTAGACAAGTTTAACAGGGAACTAACTGCTATCCAAAAAAACCCAAATCTGATTGTTCGTGTAGAGAATACAGAACAAGACCAGCTGACTAGGCCCGCATTTCTAAAAATTGTTAGAATGGAACCTGACAAAGCCAGTTACCTCTAGTTGTCCTTGTATTCTCACCTTTTCCCACTTCCAAAAATTCTTGATCTTAAAGGGCAAATGCAAGGAAATCCAGTATTTGCTAGGGTTTGGTCCTGAAGCTAGTGTGCTACTCCAGAGTAATGTACATACAGCATCCCCTTGTTTCTTGGCAGACAAACAAAGCAACTTTCCCTTGCTGGTACTGAGCAAAGCACATGCTTTTACTTTTGAGGGTCTTGCATTCACATGGTAACCAATTTATTGGCCTTTGGCCCTGGAAGAAATTGTGTGCTGCCTGTTTGAATATCCATGCTAGTCCCTACTTGCTCAGTCTGCACCAAATCTTGTTCTTTATCTGGGATCAGCTATAACAGAACGTCAAACTGTTCAAAGTGTACTTCAAGATTGACCTATGCATCTTAAATCCCACAGAATCAGCAATCAGGTGAAACAAGTTTATAAAAGGACAATATGCAGGCATTAAGACTGGGTTTAAACACTACAATGATCACCTTTTCTAAAATAAATAACTACCTTTTCAAGCACTAATTATGCACTGGAATAAGTGCTCATCAAATGAGCCTCCCCTTACTAATTAACAATAATAGACCCTGTCATCTGAGCAGTCCTCCTTTCCCAGCTGCAGATGCAGCCAGCTACCGTGTACCATAGTAATTTGCTACACTGGCTAATTATGCTCAGAACCTCTTCCCCTGCCTGCCCTTTTTACTTCTCTATTGCTCATTTTCAGTCAGACCTCATACTTCTAATCATCTGCGCAGCTGTTAACTATCAACTCTGCAACATCTACATGCAAACACTCTCCCTTCCAAAGGAGTACCTGACTTCCTCTTAGATTTCAAAGACTGTACCAACTTAATGACAACTTAATGACCAACTTAATTACAGATAGACCCTATGACATCCAATACTAGATATTAAGAAGACTTCACATTAGATTGCACATTCCTGCAACTCTTCCATCTTCATGTATGACCACCAAGAACAGGTCAAAAGACCGGTGGGGACTTTAACACCTTTTTTAAGGAAGGTTCCCAGTCTCCCAGCAAAGTACAGGAGAGAAATTTCAATTAATCAACTCTGTGTACATAATGAGACATCCACTAGCACATGCCACAACCATTCTCTACCCTGCAACCACCACTGCCAGAACTTCAGCTTCTAGATAAAGCTGGGTGATTTTTAAATACAACAAATTCTGGAAACATAGGGTGCTTCTGAACTAGTAAACCATATTATTATTTTTCTGCCAGAGACTGGGGGTGGGGCAAAAATCAAGAATAAAATGAACCAACCCTGACACCGATCAAGTTCCTCCCTTTTGATACCATCCAGGGTCAGACCCTCCAGCCACAGCAAGCTCCACATAATCCCCCCTGCCAAGGTGGACCCGAATGGCCATTTCTTTACAGCAAAGCTGCTCCTCCCATGGCTATTCCATTCTTACTATCTCTGCTGTACTTCTGATAGGGTCATGCACAGTTAAGAGATAAGACAACAAACAACAGTATTTGATATTGCAGTAGTAAGACAGACTCCACCAGCTCTGTCATAGGGCATTTAAAACAATTCCTGTGATGAGGTGTTCAGTTAAAACAGTTATAGTGCTGTAATTCAGATCTAAATACCTACATCATTTTGTGATAACAGTAACCTAAACACATTTCATGATCTATACTAACTTCCACACCATACCGAGTAATGCAACTGAGAAAACCGAAAGATGAAGTAACTTCAACTGCCAGTTGACCTGACCTGAACTCTGAACTTGCACCTAAATCTTATGCTTTAGCTGTAAAAATTGCATTTCCTGGGACTTGAGGACAATTTTCTCACCTTCATACACTGTCCAGTTGTCTTGAAGATATTTTGACATCTTCTGTAATCCTTTGTCGTCAGTTACAGGCTGGGAAAAGAAGGAACGCTGCATGATATTTCAGAAATAATACATAACCTCATGTTTCACAGCACACTGAAAAATGCAACAGCTCCCAGATGAGTACAGTGAAAAGAGAGCGAGTGTAAGCCAAGCCCTCTATGATCTCTTTTATGCTCCTTTCTTTCAGGACTGTGATAGAAACCTGTCCTGAGTTCATGTGTTCTGCTGGGGAAGCTTTGCAGCTTGAAGAAAATGGATTCCCACTTACTAAACTATGAGGAAAAGGAATATCACAAGGAACATGTAAGGGTCAAAGAACATACTTAGAAGTTTCATTTAAAATCACTTTGCAACGATACCATAAATAGCTGGGACTTAAAAAGATAACAAGTGTGTTTCTAGTTGTTTAAGAGGCTATTACAAAGAACTTGAGAGCACACCTCTCAAATTTGACTCCCTGTTCTCAATGAAAAACAATCCCCTTAATGCTCCCAGAAAGCCTTGTCCCCCAAAGGATCCCTCAGAGGCAGGCACAGGAAAGGCTGTGTGGAAAGCACTTTGGAGCAAATCACAAAGGGATTTTGTTGTTTTGTGGTTTTGCTTTTGGGTCTGTGGTTTTTTTTAAATAATCAAGCATAGCACACAGAAAGCACAGGCAATGGTTTAAGTTACTGAGTGCAACGGCTGGCAACCATTCTGCTTGATCCCACTATGCCACATGTTAGCTTTACCAGAGAAGAGACTGGTATTTGTAACAAACTCTCAGCAGCTTTGTGTTATACACAGGTGAGAGAAGTAGAATGAGATATGTGTCTATGACTTTTACACAGTCTCAAGACACAGAGAAGTGTGCCATTAAGAACAGAGTTCTAAACTATGGAACATAGTTTACTCCATTTTTGTTATGGCCTCAAGACAACACAAAACATTCACGATGTTAGCATAACAAAAATATCTACCTTCCACTGTCCATCACATGGTCTGTACAATTGAAGAGGAGCTTCACTGTCCTCCTGCAAAATCCATAGATCTCCTGTTTCCTCAAATGCAATGTCCCAAACTTTGTGTTTAAAAGCGATTTGCTGTCTGTAAAGTAGCTGCTGGGCAATGGCATCAAGCTGAAAGATGCAGACTGTGGAAATACTTTTGAGAGGAAAAACTTAATTACCATTATTACCAAATCCACCTACAGCCATCACTTGTACAGCAAGTTAAAACACCCACTCTAATTCCAAACAGAGCCAAAGCAAAGTCATTAGGAATTGCAAAAAATACCCTAGCACTTCAAGTGCAGTTTGCTTACATGATCCGAGGCAGAAACTGTAAAACACGTCAAATGGCTTTTCAAGTGTTAAATGAAAGAAAAAGCAGTCAAGGCTGCCTTTTCTTTAAAAGAAAAGGTAGTAAAGGGAATTTCGTAACAATTACTAAGGATTTATATATGGAGTGTTAAATCATAACAGGCCTACAGGGTTTCACTTCAAGGAATATGTAGCTGAGCACCAGTCAAAATAAAACAGGAAAGGAATTACATGCTGGGGAGGGCAGGAGGGAAAATGAGAGGGAGAAGAAACCTTGACACAGCTGAAGAATAGGACTTTGGCACTTAGCTCATCTCTGCATCTCCCATCAGCACTCAGTCAGCTAACAGCCACAGCTTTTATGTGCAGAGCTTCCTAAACTCCCTTGGACAGGTCCCCAGGGTGCCAGGCTGGACACCCTGACTCCTTCCTGAGTAGCCTACCAGGTCCACCTGACAGCACTGTTTAGAAACGCTGGGCTGTGGAACTGGAAATAAAAGCCTTATGCAGAGCACAGCATGGCCCCTGGGTAAGTGACACAGGCACTCAGCTGACATGGCTTCCCTTTCCAGGGACAGTTTGGATGCCCATGCAGAAGGCGTAATGGGAAGCAGCTCATGCCCCTTGCTCTGGCAAAAAGCAAGTCCACTGAGGGGACAGATTACTGATTTCACTGGACAGGCAACTCTGGCAATCTCCCCCTCCTGATGGCAAGCTTTTGTCAGGAAGAACAGCTTCCTTGGCAGGCTTAAGGTCCTGAGGAAAGAGAGGGGAAGAGGGCTTGTCCATCCCTACAAGACATTTCCCCACCAGCTGGATTTCTAAGGTTCCTCAGTGCTTAGACCCTTCAGCTCCCAAGCACTCTCTCCTTACTCAAACACACACATTTGAACCCAAAAGTCAATATAGCACCTCCACAGTTTTAAACTGAAGCAACGCTGTGGTTTTAAACAGAATGGCCAAACCTGTTTATAGAAGCAGAATACAGTAACAGAAGTCTGGCTGCTCCATCGCCACAGCACCCTGAACAAAATGGGACCCAAAACACACGGGTCAGGGTCAACAATTTAGGGAGACATCCTGAGAACCAAGCAGGGCTCTTGGGTATCATAGCCTTAAAATTCCTCCTGTGAAGGAAAGGCATCACAAAGTCTGCAAAATTTAACTAAGGTGGGTAACCCCTGCACTCAAACCAAGTACAATAAGGACTCAGAGGCTCTCTGTGAGGCCACAGGCATGCCTGGGATGCTCAGAGATCCACAGTTCCAAGTACTGCAGGCTAGGGGAAAGTTAGGACAGCCAACAGGGAAAGCTGCTCTTGCCTTTCCAGGAGCTGTGATTATTTTAGCCATTATTCCATTTATGCTTACCTGTCACACAGAACTGCAACGTAACCACCTTGACAGAAGTAAGTTATTCTTGACACAGGGTATTTCTATCAGGAAAAGCAAAAGAAACTTCCTTGCAAGTTAAGACCATTTATGAGCAGAAAATTCACATTCCATTTCATGTCTTAGCCTTCACACTTTAGCAAATGTCTTGATTTATGACAAGTTAAGCAATATAATTACTTTTAAACTGCAGTCAGGTATATTTTTGCACCAGTGTTTGCTCTTTTATTAGGTTTTCCACACTTCTCCCTTCCCAGCCATCCAAACAGAGATCAAATGTAAAGGTAAACCTCTTTAGTGAACTATTCTTAATAGACAAACTAACAGATGAAGGAAAAGTACACTGCCTTCAAACATTCTCTCCTGCGATACTAATGGCAAAAACATCAACATTAAGCCTGCTCAGCCAGGATATCACACTAACAGCTTACAGATTACACACATCAGCCATTGGTTGCTATTATGTTTGTTAAAAAAAAGAAGATAGTGATGCATAGCTAATAATCTTGCTGCACTGTTTTCAACCTGTGTCTGGGTGAAGCCATGCCATTTAACAGAAAACCTGAAGAACAATGCAAGACAGCCTGAGGCCATTTTCCTCATTTAAAAAAAATAAAATCCCACACCCAACAACACCAAAAAAACCCACACCACACTCCCCATTTAGAAAATATATAGTTTTATCTGGGAGAGAATCAGAGAAATACCTTTGCTGCACAAACCATACTACTTGAAATATGTAACAACTGATTTGAGGCTCCTTGTGTGGGAAGAACTTGGGAGGAACAGAGAAGCTGCAAGAAGATGCCCTAGGGTGCTTTTTCAAAAGTATCTGTTATATAATGTGAAAGATGAAACTGCAAAGGCAAAAGGCTGATTCTCAAATATATTTTATAAGTAGCGATAACACCAGCACTTCTGATGAATAAAACCTTCCTACTAGAGAAGTAGTGAGTTATCCCTTTTAGGGCAGGGAAAATACATCTTAACACTCTGATGGCAAAATTCAGATACACCCTCAAGTCCTCTTTCATTTTATCCCCTTTACAGCCTTCGCCTCTTTCC